ATTTCGATTTTTGTGATATTTAGTGTCAGTTTATCAGGAAGTGACGATTTTGCTCTCTTCGGCTAACTGGATTGAAACGGTGCTTTATCCGCAAATTCTTTATGCGATATTCCATTTTTGCGCATAAGTTAACTTCACAACTTTGGATGAAAACAGGGCTATTGGCCATTGCTTGACTTGCACAGGTCTTGCACTTGCAATTTCTCTACATAAATGTAATGTGTGTGTATATATACACTTACCTAAATTGCGAGTTTCTAATGCAACTCAACGAGGCATTCGCAACTCCCCTATTCCGCGTATGCCTTGGGCGGGAATAATTTAAATGAGGAATATTGTGATACGTTTCCAGAAGAAAACTCAAGACTAGTATCAGTTTCAGGGAGATCAGAAACAGTGCTTACTGATATATTGAGAATAACTCTCTTTAGAGTGGACTTTGTGCTTTGTAAATTTGCATACCTTATTCATGCTCAAACAGCAATATTACACACGAAAGACAATTGAAAATGTAAAAAAGCATAATAGGTAATCTTTAAAAATCTTACCGACCCTAAATTTTTGAACGGTATTGTGTATATAACACTAATAATTCAACTATAAAACTTTACAACTAAGTGTTGTAAAGAAAGAAATTGTGTATTTTGGCAGCAGAATGGTATAGCTACGCAACCAGGCCATGCTAACCAGGCACACCCCTTAACCCATTGGTATGTAATACCCCCACAACATCTTTTTAAAGTTTATTGACCTTGTAGATTGTCTTTGTATTTGTACAAAAGCAAAGGCAATCAACCAACTTCATCTAATGTCTCTGTCGGGAGAGTAAGAGTTCATGTGAGCAGTTGTTGTCATCACACTGTAGTCAGGAGCGGTGGTGTCCTTCTGATGTGCGTTTTGATTTTTTGCGTCTGTCAAACTGTCAATGGGTGAACTACCTCCTAATGCAGTGGTTCCCAAACTGGGGTATGCGTAACCCTGGTGGTTACGTGAGGTGACAGCAAATCTTAGCAAAACGCACTACATTACTGTCGATCAATGTACCTTTAAAAGTGGGGTTTTAGCACTTACTAGCACGAAGAAGGAATATAGAAAAACACTGTGCATAGAGATCAATTTAAGACTCAAACTCGCAGCTTGTGATTAAGTCCGTTATTAATAACCCATTCATAAATACAGCCAATTGCTTTGTTACTGAATGAATGACTCAATGACTCACTCATTAAGACAGTAGCCGCGTTTGCATTACCCTTCAAATTGCGGAAATTGAAATTACGAATTGAAAATACGCACAATGGAAACACGTCAATTTCACAAAAATTTCCATTTATTGCAAAAAAGTTTTTAATGCTCGCATGAGGTGGTTTTTCAGGCAATTCGATAAAGGAATATTGGAATAATGGAAACAGTTTTTGCGCATTTACACTCACCTGACTTAGAAGACGCGGTGTGTTTGGACAGAATACGAAAGTTCTTTATTATACTCATAAAAGAAGAAAAAAGAATTACAGGAATACTGGATTCTAAACCTCAAAGAAATGCCACAATCAAGACCTCGGAGAAGAAATGAGGGAGAAACACAGAGAAACACCTCATATATGCCGTTCACAGTATAAGGGTCTTTCCTTGCCACTAATGCTTGGATAACACGGCACGTCTCCTTCCATCAATAATAATAATGTCTAGTGCGGTGGCTCTGATATATATAAACCTACCAACGTCCGTTGCCCTGATTTTTGGAATGACTTATCGCGTGAGGAAAATAGTTCACAATCGTTCTTTATCGATATTTAGAAAAAAATCGCAAAAGTTTTGCGTAAATCTGTAATGGAAACGCGCCTAGTAACTTGCCGCACCTACTAGCGGTTTTAGTTTAATACAAATATCACTTAGTTTTACCATTATTTATTGCCTTATTATATTAATAATAAAATGTATGGAATTTTAAGAATGACATAAAACATGACACCTACATTTAATAGGGTTAGAAAAACTTTATAAAGGTAAAAAAAATGCACCTGTAAATCAATTTAAGGGGGGCAAATATTGTCCCTTAATGGAAAAGATGTGACTGCAGTCTAAATTGAAGAGAAGGGGGTATGCAGAAGGATGTTAAATGCCTCAGAGGGTACATCACTGTAAAAAGTTTGGGAACCACTGGCCTAAAGAATGACTGCTGTCCATCTGAGCTCTGCACAGATTAAGCCATCCACTTTTGGCTGGCCTTATAGTAACAGTCATAAGCATTTATGTGCTAAGAGTCTCAGCATATGGAGCTGATCACCTCCACAACAGGCAGCCGTGGGTTACGTTACTGATGAGTAATTTAGGGAGCCGCGGCCTCTTATTCTAACTTGCTTAATTTTTCTTCCATCTCAGTTTCTGCTTTCTCTCTCTCTCATCGGTTGGAGGAAAATTTTTCATTAAAGTCTATTTATAGAGCATGTTTTAATGGGCAGACCTCAGAAACAGGAGGAAATAAGAAAACGTTGAAAATGCTCAATCAAAGAACCTGCTCATTTCCTCCGGCTGCCTGTTATAAGTGACCTTTCTGTGAGAATGAAGTTGCACTCGTGAGGATCGTGTGAGCTAGATTGTGAGGATGACTAACAGAGGTGGAGTTCCTGATGGGTAAATTGTGCCTGCGTGATGAGTTTGGTTAGTCAACCTTGTGAAGCATGGCTGTCTCAGCATTATGTGTGATTGGAGGAAGTCCATCATGTCCGAGGCAGAGATGTTTGTCTCAGGCTAAACCTACATCGGAATAATGTCAGCTCATGCACCAAGAGAGAAACAAACTTCAGTCATTTGCCAGCTTAAATGGCAAAGAAAAATAATTTGCTTTAATGCGTATCACTCTTGTTTTGTAGTTTCGTTTTTTGTTTGGTAACTGAACAAAGAGTTTATATATCTTCAAGATTTGCACAATGAGCAATGGTGTTGATTGTTGAGTCTGTTGTGATTTGTATTGATGTGAAATAAAAATTGTTGAGTGAATAATGTTTCAACACATTGGCTTCCGCACTCGATTAAACAGGACAGTTCAGTATGTTCAGTGATATTCTATTGAAATCATTGTTTTGATCTAACGAAAAGGTTTTGGAAAGGTTCTACCATTCACTTTATCACATTTAACTAAATTAAATGGTACATCAGAGATCTAATTCTCTTTCTTTACTCCCTTTCTCTCTGTCTCCCTCATGTGTGTCATTAACACCACTGCTTTATCTCACGTTGAGATGTAACAGCTAAGCTGATCACTGGTTTCTGTCACCTCCCAAAGCTCCAGGCCAATCGCCGCCGCCTTCTTCCAGGTCACCAAATTGGTCCAATTATTTGATCAACAGGAAATATTCACAGACTTCTGAAAGGAGCGTTGACAAACGGCTGCACTTTCCATCATAGAGGCTGTGTTTAACACATCAGACGACGACCTTGAGCCAATGTATTAGTCATGATAATGACATCGCAAAATCATTACAGGTGACCAAGTCATCAAAACGACTTTGACCGCAGATAATTGGTCTTACTGAGGTAATGCAGATAGAAGAGGACCATGTCTGTGTGTGTCTTTTAATGTTTTTTTTTTTTTTGAGAATCGTATTGATATGCCATTGGACCAACTTTCGTCAAGGCCGATATTTCACCTCTTTCAGACAATTGAAATGAGGTGAGGTAAAAACCCTGATAGGTTTTTAAACACACGCACACTAGAGGACCAACTCCACACCTTCATCCACTGTCACGGATGCTTTAGAAATAATAACAGCCTCAGAGACACTGATGCAGAAAACAGAGGGTGAAATAAAAAGGAAGACTAAAGCTCAAACTGTCTGACATGCCTGTCTGTGTGTGAATGGCCCTGCTCCCTGCTAGGAATCTTGCTGTCTTAGTCTCACTGTCTAATTTCGCTGTGTGTTTGTGTGTGTGGTGACAGCCCATGCTGTGAGTGTCTGGCCACATGTCTCTGTTACAGTAGCGTATGGGTATGTATGGCAGCAGGAGGACACACAGGGCTGGCATATTGTTGGCAGACCAGTGCCATGGATAGCTGGTGATTTTGGATTCCTGTTTTGGCAATCATAGCAGTCCATTTAAGCCATTAAGCTGTTGCATGTATCTAGCCATACTTCAGTCTGCAGTAACAGAGCACTTACTTTCTTGCACATAGTATACGCACAGAAAATCACATGCACACATATTTTATGTTTCAGTGGCCATGTTGTGTACTGGACCTTTTCACTGTTTGTATCATTCTGCTTGTCTGATTTTGTGCGGGCAGACTGGGGATTTTTCCAAGTCTTTCTACATAGTTATGCCAGTAATTGGTGGCAATTGATTGTTTTGGAGTGAGTCATTGAATCATTCGTTCAACTGATGCGTTCAGACACACTGATTCATTCACTCTATTTTTTGGTATTGCCCAGAACCCATTGCGCGTTGGATGAGGATTCGATTAGAACTGCAAACACAAATAAAAAGTGTTTAAAAACTACAAACATGATGGTGGATGTGTGAGACCCGACGGTTAAGAAAAAGGAATTTGAGTGATTAATAGTCAGTATCTAATCTGATGAAAGAATATTTATTCAAAATTATCCACATTAGATTTCATCTTGCACTGACATTGTGAACTTTTGTAAAGATACATTTTGTCATTAACTTTTAAATATATCTTAAAGAGTTTCTTTCTTCATAAAGAGTACAAACCTTTAGGTAGTACCAGTGTAGTATAAGTAGGCGAATTTGGGCTCAACTTCACCAGTGAGTGATTAAAACATTAATTTAACTACCGTAGTTTTTTCAAAAACACATGTATTCAGGAATGATACAAGTGACTGTCTTTATGAATCATTGAATATTCTAATAGACATTTATACTCCAATTAAACCAATTTTTTTTTAGACTTTAATGCTTGTATCAACCTGGTCACTGTTAAGTTACTGTATGTGTTTACTTTAAGCAAGTGTGGTTGTTGACTCTTTGTATGTGTGTTACAGGGTGCCACCATAAAGAAAGATGAACGTACTGGAGCGATCATAGTGGCACGCATCATGAGGGGCGGGGCAGCAGACAGAAGTGGTGAGCACTAATGCGCCTCTTCTCTTGCTACACAAATGTACCCTAATAATACCCAGATGTTTAGTTTGTTTACACAAAGCCTGAGATGGTTTATTACACTGAATAAACTGTGGTCTCTTCTTAACTTCTCTTGTTATCCACTGCTATTTGTTGCATCCAGGGCTGATACATGTCGGAGACGAGCTGAAAGAGGTTAATGGTATCCCTGTTGATGACAAAAAACCTGAGGAAATAATCCGCATTCTGGTATGTGTGTGTTTGTGAAGAGACAACTAGAAATCCCATAAACAGCATGTTTAACAGTTTGTAGTATTGTGAAAAGGTGGTTTTATCCAGTGGGAATTGTTTAGACTGTTAATGTGTGAAACATTATAGGCTAATAATCTAATGTTTTCCTCCTAGCTATTGCAGAATAAATTAAAAAATGTTTTAGCAACAGAAAGTTATTGTGAAATAAAAAGACAAAAGGAATGCACCAGTGCACGTTGTTCATTTAATTTACTAAAGAGGTTATTGATCGTGTCTTTTTGTTGATTCTGCTCTGTTTACAGTCCCAGTCGCAAGGTGCCATCACTTTTAAAGTGGTCCCAGCCATCAAAGAGGAGGCACAAAGCAAGGAGCCCAAGGTACAATTCATCAGCATTGCTGCCGATCAGACATAACAGTTTAGGATAAAGAGATGGCCGATATGGGATGTTCTACTCGGATGGTGGGGGTTTGTCTGTATATGTACTGTGGGCTGCTGGCTTGATAGATGAACTTTTGTTCCCATCCATCTTCAACACAAATGATTTGCACTAAACCTCTCAGCTCCTGTCTAGCTTACAAACAGTCTATGTCGATCTGTTTCTAAACCAAGTGAGCTACATGAAACCTCAATAATGACTGATTTTCTAATCCAGATTTTTATATCTGGATGTCTGGATAAAAGCATTTTTATCCAGACATCAATAGCTGTATTTTTATCAGTGATCCTGGCCTTTATGTTGTCTCTACATTCATTTGTAGATTAACTGTGAAATTATTACATTATAAAATATATAAACCTATAAAAATGTAAGTGTTTTTAATTGCGATTACGGTAATCACAGAAAGAATGTGTGATTAATTGAGTTAATTTTTTTAAATCGATTTATATATAATATCCGTGGTTAGTCATCGGTCGTGTATGGCATTAAAAATGTAAAAAAAAATGGCATTAAAAAGCATTACATTTTATTTGAAGATACCTGCAGAAACCCTTTTACAGAATTGAGTTTGGACATGAGCTAAGTTAAAGACTTTATACTAATAAACAAAAAACATAAACTACTAACAAAAATATTTGGTGAAAAAATAGCACATTTTTAATTATTTTGGTGATAGTAGGTCTATAGGTTTTAGCAAACCTTTGCAATGGATTCTGGGATTAATCATTCTAATGTGCTGAGTTTTTTTGTTGTTGGTCAAATACAATTTTTTTTTTCAATTTTTTTTTCAATACTATTTGTAGTATTTTTGTGACAATTATACATTCTTAATTTTTTTTTTTTTAAATCTAGAAAGCTGAAAAAACAGCATTGATTTTAAATAAGTAGAAATCTTTTTTTTTTTTTTAAATTAAATATGTAATCCTTGCTAAATTAATTAATTTATTTAAAAAAAAAGATTGACCCCAAACTTTTGAGTGTTGTGCTGTAACCATTTCTTTGCGGGTTTATTCTATTAGTTTTACTGTGCTGTAATGGTTTAAATATGTTTCAGTTTTAAATTCAGTCATAACCCACATGTGTGTTATCCAGTGACAATAGTTTACTGTTTTCCGCACGTGTAATGAATATGTTGAAGTGCTGCTAATTGGCTGCACATGTGTAAGAGGGATAAAAAATGATGGAGTGCAAGACAGAGAGATGAAGCGTTCCCTCAGGATGTATTGGTGTGTTTGTGGGGGACGTTCTCCCCTGTAACATCATTTTTCTGTATGGCACATGCAGCTCTCTAAATCAACACAAGCCACTGGTCTGTGCTTTGGGGACTTTGCTGTCTCCGTTTGCTCTCAGTAACTCTTTATTTTCTTATTTGTCTTTTTTATTGATTTGATACGTCTGCTCAATCACTCCAATCCTCCGAACACCTCATGATGTCCTTTAGAAAAGCACTAATGAGAATCGCATAGCATTTCCAAGAAGATTTTACATGTGTATGTGTGGAAATTAAGCCTGTCTGCTATCCAAAAATGCACCTTGATTTGGTCAGTATTTCGAGAGGGATGGAGCAGATGTGATTTGAATTTCATCTTTCTCTCATTTCATTTTAATCCATTTAATGTTAGTCTTGAAGCTGTTTCTCTCTCTCTCTTGCTCTTCAGATGTTTGTAAAGGCGCTTTTTGACTTCAATCCAGCTGACGATAAGGTGATCCCTTGCAAGGAGGCAGGCTTGGCGTTCAGGATGGGAGATATCTTGCAGGTTATGAGCCAGGATGATGCCACCTGGTGGCAGGCCAAACTCGAGGGCGATGGCAACCCGCGTGCTGGACTCATCCCTTCCAAACACTTACAGGAGAGGTTAGCCAATGCTTTTCTCTCTTCCCTACTCATTTCCTCCCACTATCGCCAGTTTTAAATTCAACAGCCCTCTTTGACTCCATCAACTTGTCCGCCCTCTGTCCAGCCCCCTCATATATCATATTCACCTTTCATGCATCCATCTCTCTGTCTCTCGATCATTCCAGACTTCTTCCACTCCATTACAACCTGACTTTCACTCCCTACTATGAAAGGAATGACTTTTCTGACTTTTTTGTATTCCTCATCATTTTTTTTCCCTTTTTGTGCAAGTCGGCTCGGCCAAAATACTTTGGATTTCCGTGGCTGTCTGGGCTGGAATGAGTAATGACAGACAATGATAGCACTGGTTCACATCCACTTTGGACGTCCACGCACGGAAAAATTGCACATCAGTGGCTTTCTTTTTCGTAAAGTGGACTCTGATATGTATGCATATGTGTGCTGCCTTAGGAAATAGCTTCTTTGCTCTGTTTCTCTTGAAGAAAGTAACTTTCAATAGTAAAACATATTTTGAACCTGTCAGATGTACAGTAGCAAGTGCTGTTTCTGGCTGACCACTCTCTCTCTCTCTCTCTCTCTCTCTCTCTCTCTCTCTCTCTCTCTCTCTCTCTCTCTCTCTCTCTCTCTCTCTCTCTCTCTCTCTCTCTCTCTCTCTCTCTCTCTCTCTCTCTCTCTCGCACACACACGCACACACACACACGCATACTCTCTAATGGATACTTAGGCAGGTAGCTCTGCATTGTAGTTAAGTGTTTAGTAATCCCCATATAGCTGTGAAATCTGATGGTTTTACTGCTTGTGTCTGTACAGCTACGCTCATGGCAACAGAATAGGGTTGTCAGTCAGGTTTGTAGTGCTAAATTACCAATTATTAAGTTAGGTTTAAAAACACATAGGGATGTAAAAAAAAAAACTTGCATCACAATAAGTGTAATTGTGAATGTCAAAACATTTGGTAACTAAACAGAATTTTATTAAGTTTAGTAACATTTTACAGTGTTTACATGAGTTGACTGAATATCTTTTAGAATACACGATGGTAAAAGGTCGGAAGGCCGAAGTTTTTTTTTTTTTTTTTAACTACCACTGGTTATGAATTGTGCTAAAATAACATTGCCTTATCTTCTCTGAAAAGCTTTCCACACATTCAGATGACATAAACCACACTTTCAATAAACAAAAAAAAAAAAATCTATTTAGAGATGAAATGTTTTCTGTGTTGAGACAAATCTTGTGCGATGTCCTAAACTGCCGGGATAATCACACAACGTGGTCCGTTAATGACACGTCCGATTCGCGAACTAATGACTCCTTTGAACCGATTAACTTTAATGAATGGTTAAAACAACTGATCTGTCCAACGCTGAACTCAAGAGACATAAATCGGAAACACTTTACAATAAGGTAATTTAAAGTGTCTAGTTAACATTCTATTAATATTAGTTTCTATGCGGATTTACTCCATGACAAAACCACCCAAGTCATTCTAGAATGATTCATTCTTTCCAAATAGAGCTATTCAAGTCATCTGGTGAAACTGTTTTTATATCGCAATATATATCGATATTGACATTGGTAAATATCGGTATCAGCCATAACAGCAATATTAATATTGGTTATCGGTATCGGCCACAATTTTCACATCGGTGCATCACTAAATTCATGTGATTTGATTCCGATCTTGATTCAATATTGACTCCTTTGGAGAAATATTTGGTACAGTAGATGCCTGTTTTTTTTTCTCAAGAAAAGAAATCTCACCTAATGCTGTAAACCTACAGAACCCTGTCAGCTGGTATTATTAAAGGTTATATAATACGTAAACTTACGTATTAAAGGTAAATATAATATGTCATTAAATAATTATTATAACGAAAACGATAACAATAAGTAAAAATATAACAAATATGTTATATTGTGCACATATTTAGCAAAAGACTCCTCTCTATAGCTATTTTTTCCCTGACAACTAACGTGCTATGGTCATTAAATGGCTTTCCTGAGGTAAATGTAACGTTATGTGACATAATTGTTCTTCTGCTGTTTTATTGACCTCTTTCCGTGGTTGAAAAACACTGATTGATCAATATTATATATGAGGCATATCTTTCGGTAAGTTGTACTGCATCTATAAATAAAAAGTAACAGATGATCGGTTCATGTGCCACTTGAGCTCAGCTGAGATGCTACGGTGGTCTGTCACGTCACATTTACTAGTGCTAAAACTGTATTTATTGTCTGAATTTCGTAATAAAATTGACAGAATCTGAGAGCTGAGAATTTTTTTCATATCAAAAGAAACCTGCTCTGTCTTGTCTGTCAGTGTCCTCTTTGCTTCGCGATTTTTCTCAGCGTGAGAAAATGGATGTGTGCCGTGAGAGCGTGTGAAAAGTGTCAATTGCGTGAGTCTCATGATATTCAAAGACCAAACAGACTCCTTTACACACTGTTGTAGGTTGATTTAGATTTGATGTGTGATTGCTTCTCACTTGCACATATATCAGTAAATACAGTTCTCTGTCCCAAACACTAGATCTGTGAATGTATACTATCTGTTTACTACTATCTATATATCTTTATCTTTCTCTCTGACTTCCTTCAGGAGGTTTGCAGTCTGGAAACCCACAACCATCACTACTCTTCAGAGGACCCCCAGCAAAAGATTTTGTAAGGACCACACTCAAACAATCATGCAGCAACTAAAGCAACCACTGAAACACATACACACAGCTTAACAATGTTGAGTAGGTTTTACCCCTACTGGCTGAGTCGGGCCATTAGTAGTTGTCCCACTATGAAAGAATTATAATTAGCAAATTTTTTAAAATATATATATTTAGTAGAAATGTTTGTATTTTTCCATTTAAATTTAAGTTTACTTAACATAATTTCACTTTATAAAAGTGTTTTTTTTTAAGTGCTCCAAAAACTGGAAATTATGTACATATAATGTAACATTCAAACACTTTTACTGGAAAGCGATAGCATATGATGCAAAACATTACTCTTTGGTTTGTCGTTTCACATTTTTAATGGCATCATTAAAGGTGGTTACAAATAATTTTTGACAAACCTCACCCATGATAGTCAACTAGATAACATTCGTTTTTTTTAATGGTTTACAAATTATGATGATTTGTCACCAAGATAAACAGTTTTGATTACATTATAGAAACTGAACAGTGGTTCTCAGCCAGGGGGATGGGACCCACTATGGGAAAAAACTTTCAGAGAGGCCAAAGAATGACTTAAAAGCATTTAAATAAATAAATTATTATCAATATATTAAGATAATCAAACTCCAAAAAAAAAAAAAAAAATTACTTTAAAGAATTTTGAAATCTCTGGAATCACAAAATTCAATTCAATACATCAATACTCGGTTTCTGTTAATTATGACAAAACTGCTTCAATTCAATTCAATTCAACTTTATTCTGGCTCAAAGTCCAATATAGATACAAGACACACACACCAAATAAAAAGAAACAACAATTAAATAGGCATTTTAAAAAGACAGCTGTACCAATGCCTCCACAGCTTGGACTGCTTGTTTTCTAACTTTTTTTTTTATTACAGCAAAAATATCAAATAATGTGTTAGACAACAGGGGCCTTAGAGTCAAACAGGTTGAGAACCTCTGGTTTAAAACATGGTTATAAAAGATAACTGAATGTAAAATTTCCAGTGGTAATGCCCAAAACACTCTCTCACTGACCTCAGGCTAGACACCGTTTTGTTGAGCCCTGCACACACTCATCCCTTTGTTCCTGGACTACAGCAGAAATGATTTTCTGTCGTATGAGAGAGGCCCATGCAATGCAGATGCTGTGACGAGACAGTGGCTTAAAAGAAATGAATAGAAGGAACAGCAACCGGAAAAGATTAGATGAGAGGGTGGGAAGTGCAAGGTGAAGTGAATGCAGACAGGGAGCCAGACTCCCCTGATTGGTGCCAGACAGATATGTGCACACATGTGTATTCATGTACATGTGCATTAATGCACGCCTGGACATAAGCTTCCTCTCCTGCTTTTCATTAATCTCTCACATTTGACTATTGTATGCGTGTGTGCGTGTGTTTGTACGCCACAGCTCTAATCTCTCCCTCCGACTGACATCAGGGGTCTTTATGGAGCTATGCTGGGTTACTCTCTACACATGGGCGCACTTAAGACTCACCACGAGACAGACCCGCAGCAACACTCTCGACATGTTGCCGTCATCTGTACAGCTACACGCACACTTGATTGAATAATACAGCCACTCTGGATTCTTATCCCCAATGCCACATGTTTGGCCTCCCACCTTTCCCATTTTTCTCTGTCACTCCGTCGGCTGCTTAAAACAAAGTAAAAGTAAAAGTTGATGTGTGCGTCACTGAATTATCAGTATTGATGCGTTTTCCAGGACCACCCCAGGAATCGTGAAACTGTCATCTTCGCAAACTCTTTATGTTTCACTTAATGAACAAGCATAAGTAATATTAAAGTCCTGCTTTTATGCTGCTTTTCATATGTAGAATTTTTCGGAATCACGTCACGTATGGAAATATGTCAAACGCGCTCAATTCAGAAACACAGAAAGCTAATGTCTCCATGTCTGACTTGACCAGAAGCAGACCGTATACAATATCAATCCAAACTCAGGTGTTGTAGATGCATATAGGTGTGCTTGGAAAAAAATTAATTGTTTGTTTGAAACCGCATGATTGTGCACTTTAAAAGTAAGACCATCTGTCCACTGGCCTGCAGTGCGGTGACGTTAGCCCATATTTCAAAGAGCAGCGATGAGGGGCTTTCTCTGGATGACTGAACACACGCTAGTGCTTTGCACTACAGACATGTGCTGTCAAATAAAGCCTTACTTATCAGAACAGCATGACAACTAGCTGAGACTGTATGTCATATCCATTATAAAACCCACACCCCTGGGCAGGTACAGAGACTAAAACTTTCAGGGTTTCCACGGTTAAATCATATTTAAAATCATGATTTTAAGCATGGGAATGTCATGGAAATTAATCTTAAAAACAATTGAAAGTCATGAAAACGTTTTTTTTTTACATTGTAAAAAAAATATATATATAGTTATACAATTTTGTAGGCTAGAAATAGTTTTTTTTATGGATTAAATAAAATAATTTAAGTCAATATCAAGTAAATCCTTATGAAGGACTGGACAAATTACAGTGCACACAGTCTAATCATTGGTCTGGTTACAAAAAGGTTTGCTGGTTCAATCCCCACAGGATTGCTCGCCACCATTGTCTTTGAGCAAGGTACTTAAAGTTGGCATGACATGTAAGTTCACCCTATCTATTTTCTAAACGCATCTTAGTGATCTTATTATGAATAATAACCATGCATATGTTTCTCTTTCACTTATTTTTTTTGACCTCGTATTTCAAAATGTCATAACTTGATCGTCCAATAAAATGACAGACTTATCTGGTGACGTATGCTGGCCTTCTCCGATCATTTTTGTCCACTTAAACCCTGATTCTTTCTTATAATTGCCTACAAGCTCGCATTTAGATCTGACTCATCCAGTCAACAACCAATTGTTAGAACTAAGTCCCACCCAAAGTTTTTTTTCTTCCTTGTTTGATAATTATTTTCATTCGAGTGTATGTCCCAATCTGGGATCCACATCTGTTATATCACAAAACGTTGGGAAGAAGGAGGGATGTTACTTCTCCTTAGTGATTCAGTCTTGTTTACCAAATCGCTTCCTTTCAATTACTTACTCCCAGCATCCCGCCTCCTCTGCGATCTACTCCTTGCCAAAGGAGGAGTATTGGAGGCCATACTCAGCCTCTGGCCCTGCCTCCAGTCCTAAGACTGTGACGGACAAGGTTCTCTAGAGGGATTAGGCGAAGGCTTAGACATGCGTGGGATGTATCCCCTGAAAGCTGCTGACCGCACCCTCACGTCTCTAAGCCTTCTGGCTACCGTCTCCACAGACGTGCCAAAAAGAGACTGGCGCATTAAGGAGAGTGTTTTTTTTTTTCTCTCATTCTCCTTAATGTCTGCCAAGTTGAACCACAGATGCCTCTCCACGGCCACCATCTCTGGCATTGAACAAGAAATGACAGCGGCAGTTTATTTGGTAGCCCGGAGGTCCAAATGCATGGTGCGGAGTGGCTTCGCGACTGCCTCCCAGACAGTCCTTGCCCCTGATCCAAGTCTTTAAGCAGATCGGCCTGGTACGCTTGCAACACTGTTGTCGTGTGCACACAACCACCAGCCTGACCTGCTGCCGCATATGGCCTGCCATTCAAATGGGAGGTAGTCCTCAACGCAAGGCAGGGTCGCAGTGAGGAGGTTATGGCCTGACAGGATTTGCTCGTCAAAAGTGCCGCAAGTGACTTCCTGTCTCTCGGTGGGCCATCACCTCCAGAAACTCCTCGTGGAGCTGGCAAGCTGAGAGAGCTCACTTTAAGCAGTATCCTCGCCCTCTTAAACCACATCCACCTCATCTTGGCTGGATGATGCCATCAGAATTTGCTATCTGTTTGTGGACAGCAGAGGGGGTGGATTTATTAATAACATCCGCCTCAATTAATGAAAGTACCGGTACTGGAAGCGTACTATACGCTACATGGATAAAAACATCTGTTAAATGACTTCAATACCTAAGACTTAAGAATCTTTATTAACGGTCACATGACCAGGTTCTGTTATTTATGTTTTTTCTTATCCCCATTGTGCCAATGACATCGCATAAAAGTGGAGGTGCTTCAGACATGTCAAACCAGCAACCTTCCGGTTACCAACCCAGAGCCTTAACCTGTCAGTTAACCCTCTGGGGTCTGAGGTGTTTTTGGGGCCTTTGAGATGTTTTGACATGCCCTGACATTTGTGCTTATTTCAGCTACTTAAATCATACCATTTGCCAACATATACATTTGCTGTATTCAGCACAAACTCTGCTACAATAATACGTGAGCAAAATGGATGTATATGTTTGCATTTTATAGAAAAAAAATATTATGCGTGGTTAATACGTTTTGGGAAAAAAAATGTCACTGCAATAAGGCCATTTAACACATACTGAATAGTTGTCCACAAGACTTTTGAGTTACTATTCTTGTAGGCTAGAATTTTTACTTCAAAATGAAGTGAAAATCATTCTGACCACTCTTTCACAAACAACAATATAACTATTTAAATTTCTTACGTCAGTTTTTGGTCAGCACTGCTGAATGCGTGGGAGTGTGAATGGCCATGAATATTAATGTGATATACACCTGGGTGGGAAGACTAAAGACACTCCCCCAATGGCCCATCAAGGTGCTGTGAGGCAGCCTGAACTAAGAATGATTCACTGATGAATAAAAAGTTAAAAAGAACAGCATTTATTCAAAATAGAAATCTTTCCTAAGAACGTAAAGACTTAAAGTCATTACTATCACTTAACACATCCTTTAAAAAAAAAAAACATAAAAAGACCAAACTTGTTTTTTTTATTAAAAAAAAATGTATTCAAAGAATCCTAAAAAAAACTATTACAGGTTTAAAAAAAAATAAGCAGCACAACTGTTTCCAACATTGATTTTTTTTTAAAATCATATCAGAATGATTTCTGAAGGCTGATGGTTAGTTAGGTAAGTTAGCGGTACATCTCACTGATGCTGACATCTGTCCATTTATATTTGCAGCCTTTTGCAGTTGCCTTGGCAGCCTGGGTAATAGACTAACCAAAACTGAACATTTATATATAAAAAATATATTGTATTTACTTAGACAGTATCACATATTTGCATAGGCGTCGATTTCGGTGGGGGCGGTGGGTACGCTTCCCCACCAGATTTCGTCATGAGTCATTTTGTACCCACCACTTTTGGAAACATTGAGGCACGGATGTACCTAATACAAATAAAACATCTCCAGTTAACTAGCAGAGCATTCATTTAGTCCGCTCTTAAATAAGAGATCTAGCGCTAAAATGTTTTGTTTTTGAACTCAAGCTAAGCGCTCGTGTCCGCTGCTATCAGTGTCATTGATACAGTGTTCTCTTGTGGCGGCGCGCGCGCAGTCTTCACTCGGACGCGCTCTTCAATCTATCGCCGTTGCGGCGGACACTCTTCATTCCGGTGAAATCACAAAATAAAAGGCACACAACTGCTTGATTTAGACTGTAACCACTGATGAACATATTCGGTTTTGATGAGGGAAAAAAAACTATACCGAGGGCAGATTAGAACCCGTAACCTCTGACACGCTTGGCAAAAGATCTGCCACTAGACCGAGTTTCAAAAAGTTTACACGAGCGTATAGGTAATATTCCCTATGTCAAAACTAGGCAAAATATAGTCTAAAAATTCATTTGAGCTCTATGATCAGAAAAGGAATTATATAACACTAAACAACTTACTCCGAGCTTGTATCATCGGCGGGGTCAATTCGTTCTTCAAAATGCAGCCGTTCGTCGTGAGTTTCAAATTCCTCTGAGGAAAAGGTGAATTTTTCCCTGCTGTCCATAATCCTCTGAAGGAGTAGCGTGCTGCCATCCTCAAAACGCGATGAACTATCAGTGATTCTGATGAAGAAAGTTACTTCGTGTTGTTATGGCATTGATCGGGGGGCGTGCCGCGTGTGCGATGCATAGATTGCCTATTTACCATGTGAAAAGCTCTATGGGCGTGGCGGCCTCAGCTAATTAAAGACATTTTATATTTCACAAAATGAAATATAAAATGTGATTGTGGACTGGATTTTTTTTTACCTTTTATCACAGTCTTGGACATGTCAAAGATTAGAAACAACATTGGTTTTGATGCATTGTTAGTTTTTGTGCAGCATCAGATTTTTAACTTTTTCTCCCTCATTTACTGTTTGTGGCTGTTTTTGCCCCATTGACTTCCATTATAACCACATTTTTTGATTGCAAAGCCATGACACCATATAATCATAAATTTTTGATTGTTGGTGGTTTTCCCTGTTGGGAAGAGGTAAAATTTGTAAATTTTACTGTTGATAACCAGGTGGCACCATTAACCCTTTAGATTAGGCCTGTGCAAAAAAAAAAAAGCTTAGTTTCTGGCTTTTACATGGAGTTATATGGAGTATAATAGCATATTAAAGTGTGTGAGACGAGAGTGTGAGAACTCACCTTGATGCATCTGAGAAAATCAAAATATGCACCTCAGCTCTCAGAACTGGAGTAAACAAAAACAAAGTAAATGTATTTATGCATCTGCTGCTTTTTGATGGTGAGTAATGCAGACTAAACTAAAACAAAGCAACTGGATTTAAACGCTTGCATTCAAGCCTGCTGGTCATTTGATGTTTTTTTGATGGTCATTTTGATGGACAAGTGGCTTCACTTGTCCTAAACCTTAAAAGTCCTTGGATCCCCCTTTTTTTCGTTTGGGTCACACCAACAAGAAGAAAGATGCCTAAGGATTCTCCTGACTGATAGCACACAATTTTACTGCCCTCCATCCTCCTCTTCATGGTATTGCTTTCTTGGCAGGACTGTGTGGATGTGTATGGCAGGCTGTGTAGATGTTGCCCTTTGCTCGTGTGTGTTTTGATTTAAGCTTGTTTAGTAGAATTGAGACCACATGAACTGGAGGAAGCTTTTAAAGTGACTCCAAATGTTCCCATGTCTTCAGGCATGCACATGCACATTCAAATACACACTTTCTCTGCTGTTATGAACTGTTAGTAGTTCTATAGCTGCAGTTTCCTATGAGGTAAGCAATGGTTTACCACTTAATGGCATACTGAAGACTTTTCATAGAATACAAACAGATTTTTACATTTGTTCAACATTTAAAGGCGTAGTTCAATTGAAACTGATCATTTGCTCATCCTGATGTCGTTCCAAACCTTTATATTGTGTAAAAGAAGAAATTTGAAGAATGTTAAAGAAAAATTGCACCCCATTGACTTTCATTAAAACAGCAGAAGAAAAAGTCAAACGGGTTTGGAATGATTTGAGGATAAGTAAATCATGACAGAATTTCTATTTTTGGTTGAACTGTACCTTTAATTTTTATATTTCAAATCATGTTTGTAATATGTACTTCCAGTCACATGACTTTATCTTTCCTTTTATTTTTTTTCCTTTATAAGATGATGAGACAGTCGAATGGGGTAGGTCAGTTTCTTCTTCCTCCATTAATTTGCTTCTCCCATCACTCTCTTGATCTGTTTTTAATCTTTTTATGTTTATCATATTCCTTTCTTTGCTTTCCCAGTGGAGGAGATTGAAGGTACACCTTTCAGACTAACTCTGGTTCGCCTATGAAATATCATAGCCATTAGATCATTGGCTGGGGACCCCTGTATGTGGTAATAGAGTACCTGAACAATGAAGATATGGTTGATTAGAATTCATTGGTCCACAACAGCCTAATGGAGCGTAGCAGAGTGTGTAAAGGGGCCAAGAGTTCATTACCCTACTGTATCTCTCTCATACTGTATACAAAAACACACATTCACAAGCACACAATACATCCCTATTTGCCTGACCAACTATGCCTTACACTTTAAATGAGATTAGAATGATGAGTGCTCAAATAAATCCCACCCATTTTAGTCTTTCTCTATGATAGACCGTGTGAATGTGATTGTGAACATATTCCCCCAGTATTTCATAGTCTTATTGTTGTGAGAGACGCAAAAGATGTTTTAACTTATTTTACCCCATCTGTAAGGTACGTATTGAATGTATTATGTGTTATGTCTAATAGACAAAAGAAATCTGAAGTTTATGGCCCTCATGGAAAGTCGTGGATGTTGAATGTGAACACTGCCAATAGATCTGTCCACCTGGTTTAGTTGTAGAGGATCAATAGATGAAAGAAATATGACCTTTGTGCTTGTCTGTAAACCGTTTAAAAGTTTGTTGTCGGTAAGATTTTTCAAATGTTTTTGAAAAAGATCTTTTAAGCTCAAGGCTCTATTTATTTGATCAGAAATACAATAAAAATTGTACTGACCTCCTACTTTTGAATGGTAGTGTAATCTTATAATCTTAACAGCTTATAGTAATATAAACAAAACTGACAGTCTTTTTTGCAATTGGAAATCTGCTCATCTTTCAGTATGCAGTAGTGTTCCTATCTTTCTCTCTAATATAAATCTGTCTTGGTTCCTTCTGCCTTTCATTGTTTGAAGAGGACAATGAGTTTGCTTCCTATTTAAGTGGACTCCATATTGGTGAGCTCTTTTTGATTATTCTTTGTGTCTGTCCTCTGTCCCATAGCACTCCTCTCTCTCCTGTCTGATTCATATTAATGATAAAAGAGTGTGTATATCCTGTTCTGTGTCATTCTCTTGTAACAGTTTCTTGTGCTGTTAGCTCTCAATCTTCTCCCTCCCTCTCCTTCTCTGTGTGCGTCTGCTCTGTCGGACAATAATCTTTTTTGACATGTGGCTGCACGCTGTTGCATGTCCTATAGTATCATTGTCAAGCTTCCTTCTGGCTTAGTTTGCATATCTCTTCTTTTATAAGTGGTCGACTCAATCAGTCTGCTGACTTCCCCTTTTGGTGTAGTCTGCTTTTTTTAGTCTACTTTTTTCTGTCATGACCATGTGAAGATGTCAAGTTTGAAATTGTTATTGTCAGTAGCGATTCCTGTGTGTTGTTGAGTCTTATCCACAATGCAAGATGGAGAATTTAAACCTACTGAACTATCTGATATCAGTGAAATCCAAGTAATCAGTTTCCTCCCAGTCTTGTTGTAAAAAAAGAGCAAAATGTGCTTTCGTTTCTCATATAGGCACCCTGAGCAGCTGTACTTTCTGATTTTCCTGTGTGTTGGCAGTGTTTTTAGTTTAAATAGCTCTTTGTAAATGTTCAACATATTGCATTTAAAGGGACTGGTTTATTTCCAGGCTTTGTGGTGGAGGTCCGGCGGGCTCTTGATGTGGTGTTTGTTGGACATTGGGCTGTTTGAAGGCCAGCTCTCAGTCAGGCCTTAGTCTGGTTTCCATCTCTAGCGTCAGTGTGTGGAAAATGAGTGTGCCGTCGCATTCTCATTATCTGTTACCGCACAGACTCATGTATTCTGTTGTACAGTATGCCCATCAGGGACAGCTCTATACAGTGGCCGCAAAACGTACAGTATTTCCGTGGGTCCTTAAGTATTAAATATCTTGAGCAGTACAAAAATCACTTATTTGTCTTTTGCAACGGTCTTCGGTTTCAGTTCACAGCAATTTCCCCTCCCTGCTTAATGTTCTGTAATCACTCCATTTTACATCCACTTGAGGTATTCCATTTCCTGTTCCCTAATTTGTCCAAAGCCGTTATTTAATTCTTCCATTTCAGTGAGTCTGTTAGATTAGATATGATATGATAAATTAGATTATTATGAAGGTAAATATTGTTATTTATTTGTACATTTTGATATAAAGATATTTATCAAAAGTTTTTAGTGTTTTTTTAATGTTAATCTTCAGCCAAGCTGTATTTATTTGATCTAAATACTGTAAGAACAGTATTAATGAAATAATATTGCAATTTAAAAGAACTGTAATATATTTTAAAATGTAAATTATTCCTGTCATGGCAAAGAAAGCATCATTACTTCAGTCTTCAGTGTCACATGATCCTTCAGAAATCATTCTAATATGCTGATTTGGTGCTCAAGAAACATTTCTTATTGTTATCAATGTTGGAAACTGTTGTACAGATTTATTTTACAACAACAACAAGATTCTTTGATGAATAAAAAGTTAAAAAGAACAGCATTTATTTAAAATGGAAGTCTTGAGTAACATTATTAGTGTTATTAAAATTTTTCTTTAGTCACTTTTGATCAATTTAATGCAGCCTCACTTAATAAAATTAATTTATTTAACAAAAACTTCCTGACCCCAACCTTTTGAATGGTATATTGTGTATAGTAATTGTATATTATATGTATCTTAATTAGATTCTTCTTTTGTTATATTTTTATAATGTTGTCTTATTGGGGCCACTGTACCCGGTTTCCCCTCCTGTTTCTCTGAGTTTCTTGTTTGCTGCTTGTCTTACAAACTTTTTTTTGTCTCAATCGCTCAGATTGATTCAACCTTTCCTTCCTTCTCCATTGTCTTTGTTTGTTCTCTCTCTCTCTCTCTCTCTCTCTCTCTCTCTCTCTCTCTCTCTCTCTCTCTCTCTCTCTCTCTCTCTCTCTCTCTCTCTCTCTCTCTCTCTCTCTCTCTCTCTCTCTCTCTCTCTGTCTAATGACTAGTAGACATTAGTCTGTTTGTGTAAACCCTAAGCCGCTGGCCACTCATTTGAACTCTTGATTTCACAGGCGATCCTGTGGGTAGAAAGTTTATAAATAAAGCCGTGCAGTCCCGTCTGCCAAGCTCAATCAAGCTCCGTCATTCAATAGGGATAACCTTTTCAGCGCTGTGCCTCTCGCTTTTTTCTTTTTTTTTATCTGCCGTCCTGTTTTCTTCCACGCTTTCATTACCGGCCTTCTGACCTCAGCCTCTCCTCTTCCTCCCAACAGCCTAAGAACCTCAAGGGCTGGTCCCTGTACAGCTCCTTCCAGCTTCCGTGCCCTGCCATGCATTACATATTCCATGTAACAGGAGATTTTTTTTTTTACTTCTTTAAAAAAATGTAAAACTTACAAGTCCCATCATTGTACTCTGTCTTGCCTGCGGTCTAATTCGCTGTTATGATTTGAACCTGGTGTGGTAGTAATGTAAGACTGTATAACACGGATGCTTTGCTAGTTCTGCTCCACCCTGTGTCAGTGGGATGAAGGGGTGTCAGGCGTGCAAGGAGTATTAGTCTTAATCCCAAGTGTGCCATCCATTCATATGTCAGCAGTAAGGTTTTCAGCTGAACCAGTGCACGTGTGTTTGTGCATATGTGTGTGAGAGAAAAAAAATGTCTATTGCTTTGAACATGGTAAACAGAACAAACTTTTAAAAGCTACAATAGTAGCTGGGTTTCCATCTATAAACTATCATTCAAAAGCCTAGGATCAGTTAATTTTATTTATTTATTTTAATAAAATGTATACTTTTATTCAGCATGGTTGCATTCACATTTTTTTTTGCATTGACTTTTACATTCTTACAAAAAATTATTTCAAATAATTGCTATTCTTTTGAAATTTCTATTCATCAAATAATCCTGACAAAAAAAATCGCATTTTTCACAAAAATATGAAGCAGCACAAACGGTTTTCAACATTAATAATAATAAAAATAATTTAAATCCACATATTACAATGAATAAGGAAAGTTAGAAGAGTAAAACTGGGCATCTTGCACTAAAAGACTGAGGATCACACTCTACCAGACTTTCAGGTCCCTCCGAACACACTTACTCAGAAAAGATATGCTCTAAAATCGGCTCAAAATACTAACATGTTTGATATCCTCCACTATGCAATTTTCTGTGAAGTCTGTTAACTCTAGACTGCCCAAAATCTGCAGACTGACTCTGACTTTCAGCAACTATCACCAGCATCCAAACTGTAAATGGGGTTAAAAATTGATGCAAAGAAATCAATTGTGTAGTGTATTCCAGCCTTAAGAAGACAATTGGAAGACAACATATTTATTACCAAATACATTTCTAGATGCACATTGAGAAAAGTCATGTGACTTGAATAATTCATTCAGATAATTAGCTGCAATTTCCTCCCAGAGCTATCAGACATGCTATCATTCTCAGACATAAGTTGATTGTTAACAAAAATTAACTTTGACAGAACATCTAAATAAAGAGTCACAGTGGTTACAATTTTGTGATAGTATTGAATTGAAACATATTGGGTGGAAACATTGCTCTATTTTCAAAAAGTGTTTTCTATATTCCTGTTTTGCAAAATGAATGGGATGTGATATGATGTGAATACAGGTTTGCCGTGATCAGCTAATCCTAATGACCTCTGCACTATGAGGGGGACCACAATTTAGGATAAGTAAAAACAGGGAGGAAAGGCGACGGGAGTCAGACGAAAGAACAAAAAAATGAAAACATTTGGGGGGAGAAGCTAAAGCTGGGAAAGCCATCAGCCCCCGGAATCCAATTAAGGCAGGAGTTATGGAAAAATGGAGACGTGTTTTAGACTGAAATAAAAAAAAGCTCCATTTCCAAAATGAGTTTATCTCATCTGTCCACAGGTTCACTCCTGGAGGAGGAGCACCGGGGCCAGAAGCCTCAAGGCCTGTAGCTGTGCACAGCTTTCGATTACCACGCTTTTCCCCACACTGACCCCGGCTCAGGTGGATACACTTTACTATAATCGGCTGAAGTCACTGGGATCTTAATTTGGAGGGGTCGTTTGGCACTGTCTCTAATTTTGTGTGTATGGTAGACTAGATTTGAATTAGCCATGGACATTGAGAGCAAATGTGCGTCTCTTCGACTGATTTGTAGCCAGTACATAAAGTAGATGATTATAGTCTCAATGTCCTTTACTCAGTGTTTGGCTATCCATCTGTGGGGGTCAGGAATGGCCAGACTTTGCAGTGGTTCAGTGAATAGGTTTTGTGTGTCTGTTGGTGATGTTTGCATGTGGGTGTTTTGTATCTCTGATGGAAGGAACAGGTGATTGATGAGACTAACAGGAGGGCTGTGTCCTCCAACTAGCCTCTTGGATTTGTAGTTCAGATACTTACTAAACCTGCTAGTGATGACTACACCGGCTTGACCTGGCAGCCCACTCAGTTTGTCTGTGAGATAGACTGTTCAGCCACGTTGAGAGCTGAGCTCCAGGGCCTTAACGGCTGATGTCTAAGCCCACTTGGGCTCACTCCGGTCGGTCAGAGAGTTCAAATTTGACCGCGATGGATCACTGGGAACCTAACCCTACCTTTTTTTTATATATATATATTTTTTTGTGTGTATATATAAACTCCACCTCAACCTATTGAATGTGTACTTTGATTTGTAACATCAAAGCACAAAAAGCAACCGTCAATTGATCATATTTATCAGGCTTCATAATATTTAAACTTTCACTTGTATTAATGCATTTACCAGATACCTTTTATCCAAAGTGACTTGCATTGCATTTAATGTATATATTTGTACAGTTTATGATTGCATATAAATGGCATATTTGTATAATTGTATACAAATATATAATATATATTTTGATATGTAATTATGGCTCTAAGAAATTCTAACAATCCTTTCTCTAAACTCCTTGATACAAGTCTGTTCTCCTCCGGCCAACAGGAACGAAGAGTCGGTATTC